ACATGGGCGATTCAAGGTCCACTCCTGTTCTGGGAAAAGGGAAAGTTCTTCTCAAGCTCACATTTGGAAAAGTCCTATCTCTGAGTGATGTTCTCCATGTCCCTGAAATTCGTGTGAATCTTGTGTCTGTGTCATTACTTGGCAAGGTAGGGGTAAAAGTCTCTTTTGATTCTGATAAGCTTATAATGACTAAGAACAATGTTTTTGTGGGGAAGGGATATTGTAGTCAGGGTCTCTTTGTTCTGAATGTACTTGAGATTATCAATGAAAATGCAAGTACCTCTTTTGCTTATGTGCTTGACTCTATTGATTTATGGCATGGTAGACTAGGTCATGTTAGTTTTTCTTACATAAACAAAATGAAGAAAATTGGTATGATTTCTAGTATCAATAATACACACATGGATAAATGTGAAATATGCACAGAAGCTAAAATTACCAAAAAGAGCAGTAAATCAGTAGAAAGAGAATCTGAACTATTGAGTTTAATTCATACTAATTTAGGCGACTTAAAACAAACAATGATAAGAGGTGGAAAAAGATATTATGTGACTTTCATAGATGATTATTCAAGATATGCTAAAGTATCTTTACTTAGAAACAAAGATGAAACTTATAACGAGTTCATAAAATATAAAATTGAAGTAGAAAATCAACTAAATAAGAAAATTAAAAGATTAAGATCTGATAGGAGAGGTGAATATCACCCACTTGATGAATTCTGTGAAAAGGAAGGAATCATTCATGAGATAACACCACCATACTCACCTGAGTCGAATGGAGTAGCATAAAGGAAAAATTGAACACTTAAAGAAATGATAAATTCTATGCTAATAAGTTCAGGAGCACCCAATAACATGTGGGGGGAAGCTTTACTATCTGCTTGTCATATCCAAAATAGGATACCATACAAGAAAACTGGAAAGATACCTTATGAGTTATGGAAAGGATATGCACCCAACTTAAAATATTTAAAAGTGTGGGGGTGTTTAACAAAAGTAATATTACTTGATCCAAAGAAAAGAAAAATAGGCTCTAAAACCTCAGATTGTATGTTCATAGGATATGTTGACCATAGTGCTACATACAGATTTCTAGTGTTTAGGAGTGATGTACTTGAGCCTAATACCATAATTGAGACCAAGAATGTTGATTTCTTTGAGCACATATTTCCTCTAAAATCCAAGTTAGAAAAAATACCCCAAATTTCTTGTAATGAGATCGAAAAGGAAACAACTGTAAATTCAGAAATAGAGGTAAGAAGGAGTAAGAGATAAAGGAAAGAAAATAATTATGGAGATGAATATTATACATTCATAATAGACAATGATCCATTAACATATACTGAGGCTATTGCATCTCCAGACGCATCAGGAGGCAATTGATGATGAGATTAGATCTATTATGCAGAACCATACTTGGGAATTAGTAGACTAGCCTCCTGGAACTAAGACCATAGGTTGTAAATGGATATTTAAAAATAAACTTAAACCTGATGGATCAATTGAAAATTTTAAGGCTCGATTGATAGCTAAGGGCTATACACAAAGGAAAGATATAGACTACTTCGATACTTTTGCTCCTATGACTAGAATCTCTTCTATTAGAGTTTTAATTGCATTGGCTTCTATTTATAAACTTGTAATTCATTAGATGGATGTAAAAACCACATTCCTAAGTGGAGAACTCGAAGAGGAAATTTATATGCAACAACTTGAAGAATGTATACTTTCTGGCCAAGAAAATAAAGTATGCAAATTAGTAAAATCCTTGTATGGCTTAAAGCAAACACCTAAACAGTGGCATGACAAATTTGATCAAATATTGATTTCTAATGGTTTTTCTATTACTAAAGTAGATAAATGTGTGTATACAAAATCTGAAAATAACCATCATGTTATTATTAGTTTGTATGTGGATGATATGCTAATCTTTGGAACTAATTTGGAAATTGTAGAAAACACTAAGAAATTTCTCTCCTCTAATTTTGATATGAAAGATTTGGGCGAGGCTGACATAATTCTGGGAGTTAAAATAATTAGAAGAGAAAATGGCCTAATGCTATCACAAGGATACTACACTGAAAGAGTCCTTAAGAAATTTGGACATTATAACAGTAAACTAGTCTCTACACCATATGATGCTAACATGCACTTGAAGAAAAATAGAGGTGATAGTGTTTCTCAATCAAAATATGCACAAATAATTGGTAGTTTGATGCATTTGATGAATTATACACGTCCTGACATTGTTTATGTTGTTAGTAGACTTAGTAGATATACACATAGTCCTAACCAAGATCATTGGAATGCTTTGATGAGATTGTTGAGATACTTGAGAAGTACCATGGACTATGTTATTTTATATAGTGGATTTCCCGTTGTACTAGAGGGGTATAGCGATGCTAACTGGATCAGTGATTCAGATGAGACAAAATCCACTAGTGGTTATGTGTTCACCCTTGGTGGGAGTGCAGTATCATGGAAGTCTGCAAAACAGACTATTAGAGCTCGATCCACTATGGAGTTCGAGTTTATTGCCTTGGAGATGGCAGGTAGTGAGGCTGAGTGGCTTAGAAACCTCTTAGCGGATATCCCTTTATGGATGAGACCAGCTCGTCTGTGTCTATGCTTTGTGATTGCCAGGCCGCTATAGCCCGTGCAAAGAATAAGATATACAATGGAAAGAACAGATACATACGTTTAAGACACAACGTTGTGAGACAGTAACTTAATGATGGGATAATATCCCTTGAATATGTGAGGTCAGAGATGAACTTGGCAGATCCTTTGACTAAGCCATTAGGTAAGAAACTAGTGCATGATACATCGAGGGGAAGGGGACTTATGCCTATTATAATGGGTCAAGAGTAATGGTAACCCAACCTATGTGATTGGAGACCCCATGAAGTAGGTTTATATGAGTAATAACAAGTTATTGATTGACCTGGTGAGCACTGTAACTCCTTTGATTATGTCCCTTTCCTATGGTGTACGCAGTGCTATACTGCAATAGTTGAGGGTTGAGCTATGCTCTTAATGAATTCCATATCTCTTATGGGTGGTGTGCTTAATTGCAGTATACACTTGATGGATTCACCTATATGAGTGTGAAGTGGGGCCGCTTCTATGAGAACTAAGGCATGTTCTCTAGAGCACTCATGAACATCCAGGTAAGGCGCATGGCCTATTAGTGTTAACCCGCGTTGAACAACTTGACTAGAGAGAGTACAATGTGGGTGGTAAGTTTGTTGGCTCACACTTGGAATTTATGGTTCATAGAAATTTTTTCATTTCACCATACTTCCGTGAATCACAACTTACTTATTCTAGGTTTGGTTCATAACCCAAAAGGCACCAAATACAAAGCATTGTATTCTTGCCGATTAGCCCAATTTTTTTTTTATTATATATATATATATATATTGTCTTTTAAAATATGCGGGGGATTGTTGTATATTAGACACATGTTTATTTCAAAAGTCAAAAATTTGCAATCTCGGTGTTGATTTGTTCACATTGAAATCTCATATATTTACTTTCTTTAAATTTATATTTATTTCCCAAAAATGGCTATTGACCAATTACTTTCACACGTGCTAAATAAGGGGGTTGATTCCCACTCAATCATTCAGCCGTTGGAGCCTTAATTGGCTCAATCAAAGGGATCCTTCCCTTTTTCTTTATCTTGGGCAGCCTATATAAAGGCTTCATGGGACAAGGCAGAGGTACAACAAGCAAACCTTTTCTTCTTCTTGTTCTGCACACAGAAGACATCCTAAGCCAAAGACATCAGCTTTTCTTTAGCCAAAATACCAAAGCCTTCTTGTTTCGTCTTCACAAAAATTATTTCTTCATTAGTTTTTTTCAATAATATTAACTAGTGGGCTAATCCAGTTCGAGTTGTTCCTGGCTTCTCACATTACGAGTGGCCGTTTGCGAGAAACGGTCATTGTATCCTGGAGGGTAGTCGCCGTTATCCTTTTACACCGAACTTCGTACTCTGAGCGGTGAAATCTATCCTTAAGGGTAGTGATTACTCACACCTTGACCGATAAGTTAATTCCTTGATCTCTCTTTATTATTGTATTTAGCTTTCGTATCCACGATTATTTTACAACAAAAACAATGAACAGTAAGGATATTTAGAGTAGATAAGGAGCGCAGCGTTCGGCAGTGAGGTGAGGCGAACAACGAAAAGCTAGTGAGTAGGTAAGACAAGGTCTAGCGGAGTCAGGTCAGTGCATCTGTTTAGGTTCAAATCCTTTCATCTTGGTGTGGCGAATTGTGAGAAAAATTTGAAGTAGTTCTCTATGGAAGAGTTATTAAAAGTCATAGAACTTTTTATTCGAGCAAGTTCAAATTTAAATAGTTCTTATTTCGGGTCCAAGATTCTTTCCTCAATGGAGATAGTTCAAACATATGAAACTAAATAAACAAAACTAGGACAATTGGGAGAACAAATCACTTGGTTAATAAAGTAGGGTAAAAATAGAACGATCTATAGAATCTGTTGGAGTCAACAATAAAAAGTTTAGTCCACTCCATTCTCAAGTTCTTCCCAAAAACACTAAAGCAAACAAAGTACCAATAATCGCAACCTTCACACTTTGGTATTGATATTATCAATTGTGACTTTGACATTGTTATTTTGATCACATTTCTTATACCTCATTTTTTATAAAGGGGTATAATTAACCTCTTTTTAGTTAATTTTTTTATTTGTATAGATATTGTATACTTATTTTTTGTTCATCTATGTTTAATCAATTTTTAAGTACCAAATATGACGTAAAAAAAATAAAAATGTATCACATTATTTTTATCTATTAGAGGATAAAGTAAAACTTATAGTTAGAGTGTGTCAATCCTATAACATATTTTTGGCTCTGCGACTAGAGGCGCATATGTCATTTTTGTTTCTAATCTGAATTTGCTAGTCAGCCCAAATTAAGGATATTTGCTAGATCACATAGATTCTTTTGGGTTTGATTTGTGCAGGCAAGCTTACACATGCTCAAGGGAGAAGGACATCACCAACACTTGTTGCGGTGGACAAGATATAAACAAACAAAACCCTAAGCCCTTTGATTATAGAGACAGATACCAACAATTTGAAATACACAAAGCTAAACGAAAAGGTCATTTCTATGCCAAGTCATTAGCTGAAGATGGTCTTCCTTTGTTCTTAACAAGACAAGGATGGGAAGTTTTTGATTGTGAGTCATGCCAATCTCCACCAGTTGAAGCTCAAGGCGTCAACGGCTCTCTCCATACTTACTTACCCAAGTTCAAATTTCCCATCTCGATCAATTGTTCTACTCTGGTTGTTATTGGCAAATGGTGCTGCCCATTTGTATTTGTGAAGGAAGAAGCTACACTAAAAAAACAAATGAAGGATCATTTGCTTTACAACATGACTCTTGAGCAATGGTGGGAAGAGATTTATTCATGCGAACATGAAATTGGCTTCGAAGATAGCAATTTTACTTTAAATGAGAGTATCCAACGTCAACTGGTTCGTGTCCATGGCATGGATGCTGTGAAGGACAATGAAGCTAGTAATGACGGATTCATCTGGTTCTGGGTTCGAAACCAACGTGGGAAGAGAGGGACGAGTGTGGGGTTGAGTTTAGCAATGTTTGAGAAAATGAGAAAACTGGAAGAGGGGAGAGGTTGGTTTGATGGACAAGAGAGTATTGCGAGAGTGGAGAGGGTTGAAAAGATAGAAAGTAATGGCTGGAAGCGATTTGGTTGTTATGTCTTGGTAGAAAGTTTTGCATTAAAAAGAATGGATGGAACTTTGGTGCTGAATTGTGACTTCAGGCACTCACATAGAATAGAGAGCAGGTGGGCATAGTACATCTCATGTTCTCATTTCATACCCTTATAGTGTATTGCTTCTGCCGAAATAAAGTTTTGTAAAATAGTACTTATTTTTTTTATTCTCGTTCATATAAGGGTAAGAGACTAAAATAGGTTTCAAATAAGTCCAATTTTCTGATAGAATGGTGCTAAGCTAATGCACACAAGCTGCAAATTTTTTTTTGACTAAACTATTTTTTTTCTCTATTTTAGACAAAAATTAGTAATTATAAATAATCAAAATAGTAAAATAGAAAAAAAAAGACCAGGTCCAAGGGCTGGGCATTGGAGTGTCAATCGTGTCGTGTAGTATTAGTTTCGTGTCGTGTTATTTTCGTGTCGTATCACTTTCGGTATAAAAAATTATTTAATTTGACAACGGCTAATATAATACTATTTAAAAAATTATAAAATTCTTATTTTCTATCTAAAATATTCATTAATAATTATTTTCTATCTACAGTACCCATTAATCGTGTTATTCTTGTCGAACCTTTAATTTGATCCATTTATTTCTCGTGTCAATGAATCGTGTTATTTTCGGGTTCGTGTTTGAGTCAAAAATTAACAGCCCTAGCTGGGCGTACTTCAGACTTCAAATGATTTAGACAAAGGTTAGGCCCAACCTTATTCGGCCTATGTCTATATGGGCAATATGGGACATGATTTGAGCATGGTGGCTAGAAAAATTAAGGGAAAATGAATATGATGAGTTCGGATTTAAATAAATGGGCTTTAGTGGGCCTGACCCATCAAAGTAAGTTGGCTAAGCTGAGCGTTCACATTGGCTGGCCTAGTAATTGGTCTCCTAATCTGGTGTGTTACCTTTGACCCGTTAAAACGAACTCGGCATGAGCTTGATCCCACACAATTATAAAATTGACATTATTATTAAATACACACAATAAATGATGCAAATTAATGTTTGATATTTCAAATACAATAAATAATTTTTTTTTATGAGACTTGATATGAACACGACAAAAATAATAATTATATGACACGAAAATGCATGTGGGTCAGATGACGCGATAACACCCTACTTCTAATCGAAAATGTACAAAGGAATCATCTTTACTAAAAGATCCCACTGCTTGGGATCGAATCGGGTCACCCTCATGACAATAGGCACCAAAATGATATACCGACTTGTTGATTGCAATGAAGCAGGTATCGCATGAATGTATCGGTGAAAAGAGGAAACATTTGGTACCCAAGACAACGTTTTAATTCTGGCTAGTACTAATAAGGGAAGCATTTTAGTAGAACCTTTGCTTTCCTTATCAAGAGTATGAGTAGTGCTATGTGCACAAAAAATGTACACTAAATGTGTTCTTGCCATCCGCATTATTTGCTTGATTTCGCTCATCGGTCATTTGATTTTTGTGGTTTGGTTTTACTTAAATCGAAAACCATTTTCAAAGAGAGGTAAAAAACCAAACCCCCAAGAATTGGATGGAAGAAAAAAGCAACGGCAGATGCAGTTTTAGTTAGTGTGGGGATTTTTTTTCACTTTGCATTGGACACCACAATTCAGTCCGTCATCCTTGTAGATGCTTTTGTGATTACATTGATGATGTTGGCTGACGAAACTAATGAGCCTTCCGGTGTCAAATCTGATGAGCCTTCTGGTGACACAACTAATGAGCCTTCCGGTGTCAAAACTGATGAGTTTTCCACTGACAAAAACGTGAAAGATGGAACTTCCGATTTGTAGTGGTCGGTTGCCTTGTTTAGTTTCTGTGTTATAGTAAAAAGTGGTGGTAAATTTTATGTAGTTTATAATTAGGGTATGATTAATAGGGTTTGATAAGTAGTCTTTGTACATATTATTATTGAGAAGTGTGAATATATTTCCTTTGTACATATTATTATTGCAAAGTGTGAATCTTTTTTTCATTCTCTTTTTAATGCTATACCGTCAATGATGTTTCTACTCACTGTTTGATTTTACTGGACAAAAGCTTTTTGATTAATCAGAAGGCAATTATCAGATTAAATGGTTCTGCAATGTGCTCAAGCAATACTGGCAAACTTGGGTAAGAGAAATTTTTTGAGACTTGGATAAAAACGTCGTATCCTGATAATTTTTTCATTTATATTTTTAATTTGTTTTATCCGCTTCACTAAGATAAGATTCATCGGTTGTGAGTTACCGGTAGAATATTGCATGACTTAGAAAAGATAAGAATGCTGCATAATTTTTAGATAATTAACAAAATGGTTGCTAAACATGGATGTTTAATCAAGTTATTAATATGATTCAAGCTTGGAGCACATAGCTTAATTAGTTCAATGGAGGTTAACTTGCCAGTGGGTCAAGTGTTGTTTTCATACAAATGGTGCCGACTACGGTACTACCATATCTGGTATTTCTGATGGTTAACAACAGAACAAAGCTCTTGCCTCTCTGATCTCTTCTAAGGGCTTCCATGACTGAGCTCTTCTAACCGCCAACGACGGTGCTGGCGAAGCTTAAAGAAGCAGTTGAACGGAGTGGGAACCGCCGGTAGATCACATGGTGGAAAGTTTTGGGTGCTCATACGTTAGGGTTTTGATCTTATTTGGTGGTTTCAGACGGCTTTGTGTCCTTAGTTGTTGATTGAATGGGTCTAGACTCTAGACGTGGTGGCCTTGATCCTTAATGCTTAATTCGAGTAACTGACCAGAGTCTTTGTACTTGTAGATCTTGGACTTGTTCTTTCATGATCATATGTATTTTTGAAGTCCAGTCTCTCTCTCCCTCTCTCTCCCTCCCACTTCCTCTGTAAAGCCTTGTACTAATTTCCGGCATCAATGGGAGGAGAGAGACTTTTGGGAACGCCATGGCCATTATGGAGTTTGAAAAGCTTAGAGGAGGTCGGGTACGGACAGTGGATGAATGCTCCTGCATGGGAGGTTCTGATGTGATGTGAAAATGGAATTGCTGGGTACAAGCTTAGGAAGAAAAAAAGTTATATACGCTACGATTCAATTAATTAACTGGTTTCTTCGAGATAAAAAAAAAATAAAAATAAATAACTGGTTTCTTTAAAGATTTCGACGTTGGACCAATTGGATAGGTAGTTAGTTGGTGGAGATTTGATGTAGCTGGTGTGGTGGTCCTTTGCTTGTTTGAATAATTTTAGGGTTCCGGCGAGATGTTTGGTTGTGGAGTTGGCCGCCGTAGAAGAAAGTATGGCGATTTGGTTGCGCGTAGTCAGATGTTTTTGCCCACCTGTTATGATCGTACAGGAGAAGTGATTGTGTGTGGCTGGTCCTCACTCTCCTTTTGCAATCGGACTGATTAGACCCTTTTACTTGGGCCATAAAGTCTACCGAAGACCCACGGGTTTTTTCAAGAAACCTCGCGCTGGTCGTGAAGTCTACAGCTACCTCTCTCTCTCTCTTCCTTTTTTTTTTTTTTTTTGGTATCAAACAGCTGAGAAATACTAACACGACACACAAATCTGGTTTTGAATATGAAAATGCTATATTTATTTAAAATATTGATACGATTGATTGATTTAATTAATCCCAACTATTAAATTCATAGTGAATTTTAATAAATATTAGTATCCATAATTAAATAATGATAAATGATTAATAAGGTCAACAAATAATGTTAGTATTTTAAAATCAAATAACATTGTTTTTTGAACACATTGATTAGACGATTGTTTTTTGAACACGTTGATTATTCTTTGTTTAGTTACAATTTCAAGTTTGGAATTTAAATCCCGGATCATAATATGTCCACAAGTGAAAACCAGGTATAAGGGCTTTAATAAACCCATGGGGTGGGTGAGTTTAGACAAAACCTTAGGATTAGATTTGCAAGAGTTTCATAAATCCAATTCAATCTCTATCTTAAAAATTATCCAAACAGCCGTATAGGGGCTTAAGATAAGACACTTAATTTCCTTGAATTAGGATATGACTATGGTATGGCTAAATATAATTCCGGTATCATATACTAAAATGGATGTATAACCGTTGACTTTGCCCGTTTATATGTGATGATACCAGTTAAAAACGGATCACAAGCCCAAGAAGACAACCCAGAAGAAAATCTGGAAAGGCCCGAAGGAACTGAATAAAGCCCAGAAGAAAATCCAACAGCAATCAGACCATGATAAGGGTGAAAAAGAAAAGCACGTCCCAGGATTTTCCTTGAGCAGTAAGACACCATTGATTTGCCTTGAGCAGGAAAAAACTATTTTAGAAGGTCACGTCGTCGCTTCTAAAAAAATAACATTGCATCTTGGAAGAAGAGTCTGTAGCCGCCAAATATTCCCCCATGCCATCTTGACTGAGAGGACCACACCACCTTTGTGTCTAAATAAGCAAGTGGTAACCTTGCCGAGGCACGTGCAATTAAGAGTCATCATTGTAATTGTCTTCATTTTCAAATAATAAAAAATTATTGGAGTCATCTCGTAATAAATAGCCATGTAGTTAAGAAACTATTTGAGTCATGGTGTCTGTGCTACTCATTAGAGTATTCTCGTTGTATAGTTATCACGAGTGTGGTATTATGTTTTTCTTTTCGACAAATGAACTAAGACCTAAAGTTTCTCAATAAGATATTCTATTAAATCTCTTATTGGGAGGATATATATATACTTGTATAAGTGGGATTCAATAGTGGAGCTGTAACATCTTAACNCAAATCTGGTTTTGAATATGAAAATGCTATATTTATTTAAAATATTGATACGATTGATTGATTTAATTAATCCCAACTATTAAATTCATAGTGAATTTTAATAAATATTAGTATCCATAATTAAATAATGATAAATGATTAATAAGGTCAACAAATAATGTTAGTATTTTAAAATCAAATAACATTGTTTTTTGAACACATTGATTAGACGATTGTTTTTTGAACACGTTGATTATTCTTTGTTTAGTTACAATTTCAAGTTTGGAATTTAAATCCCGGATCATAATATGTCCACAAGTGAAAACCAGGTATAAGGGCTTTAATAAACCCATGGGGTGGGTGAGTTTAGACAAAACCTTAGGATTAGATTTGCAAGAGTTTCATAAATCCAATTCAATCTCTATCTTAAAAATTATCCAAACAGCCGTATAGGGGCTTAAGATAAGACACTTAATTTCCTTGAATTAGGATATGACTATGGTATGGCTAAATATAATTCCGGTATCATATACTAAAATGGATGTATAACCGTTGACTTTGCCCGTTTATATGTGATGATACCAGTTAAAAACGGATCACAAGCCCAAGAAGACAACCCAGAAGAAAATCTGGAAAGGCCCGAAGGAACTGAATAAAGCCCAGAAGAAAATCCAACAGCAATCAGACCATGATAAGGGTGAAAAAGAAAAGCACGTCCCAGGATTTTCCTTGAGCAGTAAGACACCATTGATTTGCCTTGAGCAGGAAAAAACTATTTTAGAAGGTCACGTCGTCGCTTCTAAAAAAATAACATTGCATCTTGGAAGAAGAGTCTGTAGCCGCCAAATATTCCCCCATGCCATCTTGACTGAGAGGACCACACCACCTTTGTGTCTAAATAAGCAAGTGGTAACCTTGCCGAGGCACGTGCAATTAAGAGTCATCATTGTAATTGTCTTCATTTTCAAATAATAAAAAATTATTGGAGTCATCTCGTAATAAATAGCCATGTAGTTAAGAAACTATTTGAGTCATGGTGTCTGTGCTACTCATTAGAGTATTCTCGTTGTATAGTTATCACGAGTGTGGTATTATGTTTTTCTTTTCGACAAATGAACTAAGACCTAAAGTTTCTCAATAAGATATTCTATTAAATCTCTTATTGGGAGGATATATATATACTTGTATAAGTGGGATTCAATAGTGGAGCTGTAACATCTTAACTTAATTCTGTATAATTTAGAGCGCTAATAGCTTCAAATACACAAATTCAACTTCTATAAATAATGCATCATTTGCTTGGAACAGAAAGTTACACCCATTTTCAATTGATTCGATACATATCACAATCTTTCAAATTTTAAAATTTCTAAGACTCCCAAAAATGAATAAATAATTTATCCATAACAAATTGAGAGAAAAGCTTCAATTTGTCGATTTACTCGGTCCTTGACCAAATTTTACTTCAAGTTTAACTCGCAACTAAGTGGATAAATAGGGGTGAGCTCGGGAGATAAATTGTAGCATTCTACTAAATCGGTGGCATAACTTTATCCGACAATGTATATAGGTGCCATGATATTGGACATTTACTCTCTTTCTCTCTCACCCAAACCAAAGAATTTCCTGGATTCACCATTCAAAGTTTCTTAAAATGTTATGAATTCAGCTTCTTAAATTGATATTATAGTGAAGATTTATATCTCCAATAAAAAATAGTGGAAGGCTGGAAGCTGCATGTTTCGGTGTTGGGCCTTATTCTGCTTTCCAAGGATAAATAAACATGTATTATATATACTCCAAGGGACAAATTAAAGGTATATTTGACTGAAGCAAACCCCAGTCAAGCTTACAAAATCATAACATTACACTATTCCCATTTGGACTGAATTCTATGTGAGTGCTTGAAGCAGCATGTGGTCATGTCCTCCTCCCTTGAGCATGTGAACGCTTTCCTGCAAAATTCAATACAAAAAGCATTGTCATATTGCATAGACTCCTATTAATTTGGGCTGATTAGCACGTTAACTTTGAGATAATCCCCAAAATTGACAACGATATACAGGTTTTAGGTTGACCTTCTGTAAGTT